TCCTAGTTAGATTGCAGGTATGGTGGCTAGTGTAGAACCCAGGCGGACTACTTAAATTAGATACTCAAAAGGTGTATATGTGGCTAGTTGTATTCTCGTGAATCTGATGTAATATTGTAACTATCCGAATAAAGCTCATGCCAATGGCCTAAGTGGTCACCTTAATATTAAAAAAAAAAAAAAAAAAAAAAAGATAAATCTCATTTCCTGAAACTGACTAATATTTAATACATATCGCTGAATCGCCCAGAGCAAAGCTCTAGCTCTTTAGTCTAGATATTTAAAGGGCATCATAGCCTTTAATTAACCCCATGACAAATAGAACCTGGGTAATTTACCAAGTCTCTTGTTTAATATTATATATATATTGAAGAGGAAAATCATTAGTATAATATCGTTAACAGGTTAAGCATAGTATAAATGACTACAACAACTAATAAAACTAAGCCTTTCTATTGTGGAGAAGAAGAAGAAGACATCGAAGGGTTCTTACTTAACTTCGAAGCTTATACTACATCAAAAGACTAGGATGATGATTATAAGCGACAAGTATTAGGTTTATTTGTGGATGAGCATTTAAGGCTGTGGATGAAAGGCTTGATCAAGAGTAAGACCACTTGGACTGAGTTAAGAAAGAGCGTCATCGATAGTGCATCTGCTTCATATAGTACCAAAGAAAAGATAAATAAGTTGATGAGTATAAAACAAATGACAAATAAATCTATTACAAGTTATATTAATCGATTTGAAGCAAACCTGGAACCAGTAAAAGGAGAAATACAGGAGAGAGAGAAAAGATGATGGTATGTTGCTGGGCTTTAGGGTTTACTCAAACAAATAGTAGAAAAAAAGTATCCAGAGACATTTATAAAAGCAAAAGATCTTGCTCTTCAAATTGAAAAGTACTATAAAAATAACGAGTATGACATTAAAAAGGCAACAAGAATGTTGTCTCAAGAAGGAACATTAACAGCAAACGAAGATACAGAAGTGGCGCAACTGACTGAAGCATTTGAGAATTTCAAGATACGAAGTGTAATGAAAACTTCAACAAGTAAATTGCAAGAAGTCAAAGCTATGGTGAATAAACTTACCAAAACTATGAACGAAGTAACAAGAAAACTACAAGACCGAAAGGGATCTGAGCCCTAAAAGTGTTTTATATATCAAGAAATCGGGCACATATCATACAACTGTCTGAATAAGAAAAGGCAAGAAAAGGATGAGTCGAGTAAAGGAAAAGAACCTACACCATCAGTCAAAAGGACAGATGTGCAGTTCTTTGAGTTAGTGGACAATAAAGAAGGTCAATTCATAAGAACAACAATTAAAGAAAAGGTATTAGATATGGAGGATTGTTTAAAGATTAAAATAGAAACTGAACAAGAGATCTTTGATATAAGAAATTTACGAAAATGATGTCTCATAGAAGAAGAACGTTCTAATAAAAGTAAGAAAATATATGAGAAAGATAATGTAATCGATGTGAAACAAAAAAAGGCAGTGATGTACATTCCTATGTCTGAGCTTGTTCAAGAACTTGATCTGCTACAGAAAATTGCTGAATTAGAAGTATCTGTAACTTTAGAACAACTCTTTAAGTGGTCTCCGAAAGCAAGGGCAGAAGTTTTAAAGTCCTTGACTCACTATAAAAAAGAAAGTGATATGATGCAATTAGATGCTAAAATTAGTTTAGTTAAAAGTCTGATATAAGCGAAAATGAAATAGTACTAGTATATGCTACACATATCAATGGAGACGTTGTCAAAGTACCGATAGACCCAGAATCCTGGTTAAACTTAATGTATAAGGATTATATAAAGAAAAGAGGTCTTTCTTGGCAGGAGGTTGACGGGAAGGATAGAATGGCAGATAACTATATGAGCAAGTTTGTTGGTTATATCTCTGGCATAGAAGTAGAAATAGAGAGAATAATAGTAATAATAGGTTCTATGTTATGGAAAGTGCTAGCTTTGATATTCTCCTGGGCATGCTCAGGATTATAAAAGCCCGATGTGAACTGCACTGGCATGAAAACCAGTATTGGTGTACCATTTTATCTCCGGGTTGAGAATCTTTATTCATAGTATCTATAGTACCAATAGATTGGAGTCATGGCACTAATAACATACTAAGATATGATCGTGAAGATGATGATTTGAGTTATGAAGAGGAAGTGTTTGCTATAAGAAAGATTGATTTAAATGAAGTGAAAAAGGAAACTTGTATTAATAAAGTAATATGTGATGCAGTTAATAAACAAAGAGTAGAAGTTAATGAAATTATACTTGTAGATGATGATAAATTGATCACGAGAGACAGATAATCTATTGGAATTTGTCAAATAAACGAAAAGATGGTATAGTTCAAGAGCTAGACATGCCTGTAGTTATGAGATTGACAAAAGAGAATTGGGTTAGTATTGATATAGACCCTGATATAACCAAAGAACAAAAGGAAAGATTGATGAATAAAATGTTAGATGAGGTTTCTGAAGTTTTTGCTTTCGATATGTCAGAAATAGGAAAGACAAATTTGGTAGAGTATCAAGTGAGGATGGGCAGAGTGAAAGTGCTCCTCTATGTTTGTGACCTATTAGAATTAACAACCCAGAAAGGGCAATAGCATTCAAAAAACATTTGAAAGAAATAATTAAATAGGGCATATTAGAAGAGGGAGTTGGTAAATATGCTTATCATTGTTTTTCCGTAAATAAGAAAGAAGAAGAAATGGGTACTATACGAGCGGTAGAAAACATGAAACCACTTAACAAGTAAATAGTAAAGGATAGTTACCCTCTGTTAATACGCGCCATTCTGAAAAAGGTGATAGGCCATAATTGGTATAGTATCATCAATGCTTTCAAAGGATACTGGCAAATAAAGATTAGAGAAGAGGATCATGATATGGTAGCTGTGTTAACACTATTGAGGGTATTAAAGTATATTATCATGTGCATGGGATTAAAAAATGCTAGCGAAACATATCAATGATTAATGGATACTCTGTTAAAAGGTGATGAATAGAAAAAAGTAACTGCTACTTACCAAGATGATGTTGGAATCTGGATAAATGGAAATGTCGAAAACTACATAGAAGTTTTTATAAGTTTAGCCAAATGATTTAAGCAAGCCGGTATAATGTTTGCTGCAAAAAAATGCTACTTATTATACAAAGAAATTCTGATATACGGATACTTAGTTAGTAAAAATAGAATATAAATAAACCCCAAAAGAATAAATAAAATATTAGAATGGTCTAAGCCTACCAACGAAACTGAAATACAGTTATTTTTCAGTGTGGCAAACTATTATTGAAGGTTCATAAAAGATTTTAGTAAAATAGCTGCACCATTGACGGAACTGACTAAGAAGGAAGTAAAATATAGGTGGAATAATAAACAAGACTTAGCTTTTAACATGTTTAAGAATATACTCACGAACGATGTTGTTTTGAAAAGACCAGATTGGAAAAGAGCTAAAAAAGAGTTGCGCTCTTATCAAATATACACAGATGCCAGCAATGTTTCTGTAGGTGTGGTTCTAGAACAAGTTAATAATAAAGAAAAATTAAGACTAGTTAGTTTTGACTTGAGGAAGTTAAATGCTCATGAACTTAATTATACTGTTACAGAAAAAGAGTACTTAGCAGTAGTGTATAAATGTAAAGTGAACGAAAGGTATGTTGGAGGGACAGTATTCGATCTATGGACCGATCATCAGGCCTTAGAGTGGTTATTTAATAAAGTTGAATTGAGAGAGTGTTTAATAAGATAGGTTCTAGCTCTTTAGTCATTTGAATTTCAAATTCATTATAGACCTGGACAAAAGTATAGGAATGCAGATGGTATGTCCAGATGTCCAGGAAAAATGCACGATGAAACGGTAACTAATAAGAAGTTCGTCAATAGCATGTTAATGAGAGTGGACGTAGAGAATCTGATCATTAAAAATTTAATAGAGATTGAGTATTATTTAAAGAATTTACATTGGCAAAAAACAGTTCAGTCCAAACACTTACCCTGATTGCAAAAAAAGTTGAAAAGATTTTGTTTGATCAATGATATTTTGTTTATAAAAGAAAAGCAAAATTTGTCTCCAAGAAGAGTTATATATGATAATAAGAAGAAAGACATGATTTTAGCCACAAGTTATAAAGGGATATCAGAGGAAGGAGGTCATAGAGAAGTGTATGGAACAGTAAGAACAATCTTATAAAAATACAGATAGGCATGTGAAAACATGTACCGTAATGTAAAGAAACATGTAATATCTTGTCTAACCTGCTAATGTTGTAGAGAACAGGAGATCAAAGAACTAATCCACGTTATTGGAACTAGTTGAATCTTTCACAAAGTCTATATAGACTGTATAGGGCTATTATCTAGATCCGATACTAGACACTATTATATCGTGGTAGGTGTGAAAGATCTAACAGGATATGTTAAAGCTTGTTTGTTGCAAAAGAAAAATGCGAAAAGTATCACAAAGTTTATATGAGAGGATATTATTACGAGGCATGGATATTTTTTAGTATTAGTTTCTGATAGGACACAGAATTCAAAAATGGACTACTAGATAAACTGACCTCTCAGTTGAATATAGATCAATGATTTGTGGCTAGTTATCATCCTGAAGCTAATGGGAGAGCTAAATATACTATATAAAAAATCTCTCGCATACTACAAAAAATCTGTGCTGAGAAACAAAATAAATAGCATGAATATATTAGAGGGGCAGTGTAGGCAATAAACATTACAGTTACAGATATTGGGTATTCGCTCTTTTACCTTGTGTATAGTCACAATACAATTACACCAGTAAAATTAACCTTAGAGAGCTACCAAATGTTTATAGAAAAAGATAAATGGATGACTAAAGAGCTTCTGAAATATAGAATATGACAAATAAGCGAAATGGTAAGAGATTTGGAACACACAAAAACTAACAGGGATGAACTTCGACAATGTTGAAAGTATTTTTACAATAAACATGCAAAGAAGAAAGAAGAGATAAACGTAGGAGATTTAGTATTAGTATATGATTTAACATTAAACACAACCTTGTATCGAAAACTTGATTATTAATGGCTTGGGCCGTACATAGTAAAAGAAATCAGTAACAAAGATTAATTCTATATTAATAAAATTAATAGATGCCCTTTTAAGAATCTCATCACTAGAAATAGAGTTAAAAAGCTTAAATTAAATACCTTAAATAGAAATAACAATAATGGTGATAATTTAAATATAGATTTCGTAGATGATGATCTAAGGGAGTATAGCTTGTGTTATGGTTTTGATCCTGATGCATGTAACTTGATAACAGGTAATTAGTCAGGTGATAGAATGGTCAAATGAAGGGATCAGGTATAATTTGTAATGTAATCAATTATGATATATCAAATCGATTTGCATGAACGACTTGTATAAACAATATAGTAATAATTAGCAATTAGCATTTTTAGTAATTGCATGAACTAAGTAGTCATATTCTGTAAATAGTCAATTGATTGTATTGCGATTAGTAAAAGTAAATGGTATAAATAGTAGAAAGTGAGCAAAGATAATAGACATTGCTTTTCTCCTCTTAATATATAATAAAATCTTGCTCTTTAAGTTGATAAAATGAACATCTTTATTAATAAACAGTTAATAAATACAAATAGTTTTGAACTAGAGTAAAGATAAATCTCATTTTCCGAAACTGACTAATATTCAATATGTATTGTTAAATCACCCAAAGCAAAGCTCTAGCTCTTTAGTCTAGATATTTAAAAGGCATCACAGCCTTTAATTAACCCTGTGATAGTATGGATCTTGTACTTTTTTTAAAAGAGAGTATATATTTCTTTAATAGGTAATTCTCAAGTTAACTAGTTCAAAAATTTTTTTTTTATATATAAATTTTACTATAAGTGTAAGTGTACAATGTCTCTATTTAAAACTTTTTTTTATACTAAGTTAATTATCTTTCTGACTTAAGAGACTTTTGTAAAACTTATTAAAATGTATTTAATGGTAGTTAGAACATCAAAATCGGTTAGTGAATGCCAAGATATCTTTAAAAAACCTTTTTTTTACTATATAAATTTCTTTATATTATTGTTTATAAAGAAATTTATATAATAAAAAAAAGGTTTTTTAAAGATATTTCAGCATTCACAAACTGATTTTGATGTTCTAACCACTATTAGATACGTTTTAATAAGCTTTACAAAAGTTTTTTAAGTCAAAAAGATGATTAACTTAGTATAAAAAAAAGTTTTAGATAGAGATACTATGTATTTGCACTTATAATAAAATTTATATATAAAAAAAAATTTTTGAACCAGTTGATTGAAGAATCACCTATTAAAAATAATAAGACAAGTAAATTCAAACATATTGCTAATATTTTTTTCAGTAAGTAATAAACTTT